CAGATAGCCCTCGTGTAGCTTTGCGCGAAATTCAAAACATACAAACAAACAAACCGTCTCCCTGGTGGACTCGCCCCTGAACTGTTGATAGAGCATTTGTAACTTACGTATTTCAAAGAACTTTATAAGAACAGGAAGAGAGATATATCAAATAATGCTTCTAGTTGAAAGTCTGGAGAATTCTAACAGTATTATATGAGATAGATAAAACTCACTTTTTGGAACAATCCGATCTCCACAGTCAACCATATCAGCATCCAGACATATTCTTCTTTCGGCTTCAAACAACAGTCCTAATTTGCATTCTCCTATGAAAGCTTCAGATTTCCAGCAGTTCCAGTACTTCTCGCAGTCTGTTTCATGAGCAAACTGACCATTTTCCTGAGGGCATACGAACCCTTTCACGTACACCACTTATATATATATAAAAACAAAAAAAAGCATCTTACATGTGCTTTAGGTCCTTATACCTACATATAATGCTATTGAAAGAACTTAGCTGTCAGTACGTGGATGCTGATTGAACGGAAATTAATTCTAAATTATTTTTAGAATAAGTTGACATTCATTTATTATTGTCTTACTAAAGCTAGCGTATTCAACCAGCCTTTTATATACAAGTGTTACCAGATAAATATAGTTCAAACTGAAATTATAAATTATCTTGCTTTTAACAAACATAGATTATGCACTGATAGAAATAAAAAACACACTTAACCATGGTGTTTAGCACAGTTTAAGGACGATGTTTATAAAACATTTTCAGAATGATGTTTATAACAGTTAAATATTTTGAGAATTATATATTCGTAGCAAATTAAACCATGTTGAGGGTTATGCTCATAACACAATAAAATATGTTGAGGGTTATGTTCATAGCACAATAAAACATGCTGAGGGTTATGCTCATAACACAATAAAATATGTTGAGGGTTATGTTCATAACACAATAAAACATGATGAGGGTTATGCTCATAACAATAAAATATGTTGAGGGTTATGTTCATAACACAATAAAACATTTTGAGAATTATGCTCATAACACAATAAAACATGTTGAGCGTTATGTTCATAACACAATAAAACATGTTGAGGGTTATGCTCATAACATAATAAAACACGTTGGGGTTATGCTCATAACACAATAAAACATGTTGAGGGTTATGCTCATAACACAATTGAATATGTTGGGGTTATGTTCATAACACAATAAAACATATTGAGGGTTTTGCTCATAACACAATAAAATATGTTGAGGGTTATGCTCATAACACAATAAAACATATCGAGGGTAATGCTCATCACGAATTTTTCCTTGCGCTTATTGTTTAAGTAACAATACAAGGTACGAACCTGATGCAAAGGTAAGCAACAAAAGTCCAACTGTTTTCATCTTAGCAGTAATACCGTTATTATTCACAATTTATGTCTTCACCCTAATGAAAACAAACCCACGGTTAGAATAAAATACACATATATATATACACTTCCAATATGTCTATTTTTTAACCGAATGTTTTACAGTTTACAAGAAGAGAATCGTTTGACGGAAAATTTTTTACATATTTTAAAGACTGACGAAATGGCTAGCAGTTAGATCTGATTTCATATGAATTTTACATTACTTCAAATGTAACCAACTTCGCTAAAGATATACATTTTATCTTCTTGTTTTATTTTTTATTTGTCGAAAACAAATGATCACTTTATAACTGATCTCAATGGAAAATTTGTCATCATAATGTTTGTTTTTAAGCACAAAGCTACACAATGAGCTATCTGTGCTCTGCTCACCACGGGAATCGAAACCCGGTTTCTAGCGTTGTAAGTCCGCAGACATACCGCTGTGCCACTGGGGGGCTTGTCAGCATATATGGTGTGTATTTACTCCCGTCATTACTATTGCAAATTTTGTCAAAGAAACTTTTTTAGTTTTTAGTTTTCGTAGTAAAGCCCAAAGCTACACAATGGGTTCTGCCCACAACGGGTATCGAAACCCGGTTTCTAGTGGTATAAGTCCGCAGACATACCGCTGTGTCATTGAGAGACTGCGAAGAAAGAACAGGTTAGCTCAGTTTATTCTTGAATTTGCCATGTATTATTCAGCTACATGAGAACGGATAATTCTATAGCGCTTGTCAGGGCTGTCTGTCTGTTTGTAAAACGTTAGTAACAAATTCTTTGTTCTACCATGGACACTTTCGCAGCTAAATAGCAGCATTACCTGCGACACTCGCCCCGCCTGCAAAACGCTCCAACTTCCGTTTTATTTTTTTATTATTTCAATAAGGATTTTTTAAAGTGAAGTTTGAAAACGTATAAAATAGTTGCTGACCTCATGTCGATTTATTAGAAGGTCCAAAGGTGTCGATTTTGACAACTGTAGCCCACCCTGTTTAAAATAAGGTGCTTGATATTATGGACATACCCTGTTTTGCACAACTGCTTAGCTAATATTACCCTGGATAATGATAATGATATATTTAGTTATGTCATAATCAACCCTGAATAGCGATAATAACACATTTCGTTACGTCATGGTTAACCCTGAATAGCGATAATAACACATTTCGTTACGTCATGGTTAGCCCTGAATAGCGATAATAACACATTTCGTTACGTCATGGTTAACCCTGAATAATGAGAATGACGTACATGATTGTGTGTGTAACACCGTACTGTTGTTTTACTGTGTTATGTTGGTATCATAAAATATTCTATTCGTACTTATTAGATTATATCGAGTTCATTGTCACGTGATTAAATATTGTCTCAAAAACCGACCTTCACATTTATTTCTTGCCGAACTTAATCTATTTAATTATGCGAGAGAGAAAAAAAAGTTGACTATTTTAAACAGTTTTAAAGAATAAATTAGTAGCTACTTATTCTTAAAATGTCTACATAAATATCTAACCAAAATCAGTTTGTGTCACATCACGCTTGATTTCTCGAAATAGGTTTGTTTGTTTGAAGTTAAGCACAAAGCTACACGATGGGCTATCTGTGCTCTGCCCACAAGGGGTATCGAAACCCGGTTTCTAGGATTGTAAGTCCGCAGACATACCGCTGTGCCACTGGAGGGCCTTGAAATAGGAGGAGTCATAAAAGCCAAAATGCATTTATCTAGACAGAATAGTTTGGTTACTGTATGCCCATTACAATTTTAGTGACGGGGGTAACATTGGGCCGTGTATAACTAACTTACATAAACATGTTATTTTTTTCTTTAAGCAGTTAGTATTTAATAAGCGACCCATAAAAGCAAGAATACTTTTGTCCTCCCCCCTAACAAAAAACCCTATTAATATTACATAAGTAAAATTGTTTGTTTGTTCAATTTTACTCGAATGCTATCTACCCTAGTTGTTCCTAATTTTAAAATGATAGATGAGAGGAAAAACAGCTGGTCAACATCACCCACCGCCAACTCTTTGGCTACTCTTTACCAACGAATAGTGAGATTGACCGTCACGTTATAACGCTCCCACGGCTGAAAGGGCGAGCATGTTCGATGACGAGATTCTAACCCTCAGCAACATATTGCGAATCAAGTGTCTTAACCACTAGTCCATGTCAGGTCCCGAAACTAAAATGTTACACTAAATTATATCACAAATAAAAATAATACGGTGTTTCCATGGGAACAAAAAACATTAATCTTATGTCAAGTGAACCTTTCATGAGTTAGGTCTGGACCCCCACTTATATGTACGCCACCACGTTTACTAATCGTATACCAAACTGTAAACAGTGGAAAAGTATTACTTTAATCGGAGTTGTTTCTAACACGAGCTCGGTTCAATGCTTACCTCGTTCAGTCGTCTTCTAACCGTTGTTCAGAAGTGTGTCCAAGGCTGTGAGCATTGCATATTTATTCATGACATTTTGATGATTACAAAACAGTTGTGATAAGCAGTCGTCTGATTCTTGATACTTCTTGGCTTGGAAGTGTTTCTGGAATAAACTCGATTGAACAGCGCAGATGACGAACGGTAGTAGTTTCCTGTGAGATCTCAACAGGAGGTACCAGCGCCTTCACGGATGTGTGTGATGTAAGGATAACGGCGTAGTTATTTAGAACGAAAAAAACAAACAAAACACACACAAACAAACCGTCAGCTCTTGTTATTTGCAGAATAAAAAGAAGGGTTGATCATCCTTTAACATTGGAACTTTTAATCACCGAATAAAGGTCGTTTTTTACACCTCTCTTAGACTTACAATCATATTATTTCTAAAAATTTAAAACAGTATTATATATATCCTCCCTTTGGTGGTACAGTGGGAAATTTACGGACTTAAAATTCGAGGTTCGATTTGTTTAAAAGTTTAAAACAGTATTATATACCCCTTTGGTGGTACAGTGGGAAATTTACGGACTTACAACCTTAAATGGTTGCATGCAATGGCTTCTGTTGACACTTTGCAAAGGAAAACCCGAAGCGGTATTGCTACTGTCAGATTTTGTAGGCCGGATTCTTTGCAGTAGGTGTCTGTTATTTGTTGACGATAAATTTCAACAAGAAACAAACAGCAACACACTCCAGTTGTTTTAAAATAATATATTAAAACAAGTCAGCCGTAGATACAAATGTTCGTTACACTGTTGGTTATTACAGTTGTATCCAGAGCTTTAAATATTTGGTCTCTTTTTCGTCAAAGTCCACATATCTTGGTTCCATTACTTTAGAACACAATTGACAAGACGAATTTTCTTCTCTGCTCTGTTATTAGAATACAGTGTGTGATAATTTCACTTTAAAAATCGTCACTATACACTCTTTATCGTTAAACTTACAATTTGTGGATTTTATGTGAACAGCCATACAATTGTTCAAGCTATATTTGAGGCAAAATTGCTTCCAGATTTAATCTCATAGCAAATATTTTTTTACAAATTTTCTGTAGTGGGGCATACCTCCAGATCCCCATAGCATTAGTATGCTTTGCATGCTGATTGTGCTTTGAACAATATGCGTTTGCATTTTATCTCACAAATTAGTATTCTCGTTTCAAACATTCTGTGTACAGGCCTGATGACAATTATACGTCAGAAAATGACAGTAACGATTATATTATCTCCACGATCCATGACACTAATTTATAAAAAAACAAAAAAACAAAAAAAACACGAGTGATTATACTACTTCCACGATCCGTGACAGTGATGTATCAGAAAAAGACAGTAAGAAGTATATTATCTCCATGATCCGTGACAGTGATATATCAGAAAAAGACAGTAAGGATTATATTATCTCCATGATCCATGACAGTGATATATCAGAAAAGGACAATAACGATTATATTATTTCCACGATCCGTGACAGTGATATATCAGAAAAAGACAGTAAGGATTATATTATCTCCATGATCCATGACAGTGATATATCAGAAAAGGACAATAACGATTATACTACTTCCACGATCCATAACAGTGATATATCAGAAAAGGACAATAACGATTATATTATCTCCACGATCCATGACAGTGATATATCAGAAAAAAGACAATAAATATTATATTACCTCCACAATCTACCCTGTTGGGGAAGTCACACCACTCGTTCTCAGGATCATAAAGCAGACCATGTGGGCAGTTCTTCAGAATTGGCTCTCCGCCCACACAGTGATACTATTGTGCATAAGATGAGGTTAGCTCAGTTTATCCTTGAATTTGCCATGTATTATTCAGCTACATGAGAACGGATAATTCTATCGCGCT